TGTTGTGTGTGATGCCGTGGGACTCCTTGACTGTTGTGTTGTGTGTGATGCCGTGAGACTCCTTGACTGTTGTGTGTGATGCCGTGAGACTCCTCGATTGTTGTGTGTGATGCCGTGAGACTCCTCGACTGTTGTGTGTGATGCCGTGGGACTCCTCGACTGTTGTGTTGTGTGTGGTGCCGTGGGACTCCTCGATTGTTGTGTGTGATGCCGTGGGACTCCTTGACTGTTGTGTTGTGTGTGATGCCGTGGGACCCCTTTAGCTTGGGTTCTGACTTGATGGCATTCACTTTCAGACGGAAGCCTTTGTAATTAAATGTTACTAAAATGCCCTTATTGCTGTGTTCTCGCCATCATGTAAAAGCCTTCCTATGTTAGCTGCTGGTAAGTAGTGACACTTGTGTTTGTGGTTGTCCTTCCCTAGGGCAGTATGGGCAGTATTACCTGCATCGCTTGGAAAGGTGACACCTTAGTTCTTGGTGACGTCGATGGAAATTTAAATTTTTGGGATTTGAAAGGCAGAGTATCGAGGTATGAGCCAAGAAGGGGATTTGGGGGTGGGGGGAAGAATAGGATTTTGTTATTTGGTCAAAATTTTTAAAAAGTAACCTTTTAATTGATGTAAATTTATGAATCAAGCCCCTAGAGGTGGCGATTTGGCAGACAGGATGAGTAGACGTGGCTGGGGGTAGCCGGGCCCTTGGGAGCCTTCAGCCAAGCCCCAGGTCAGTCAGAGAAGACTGCTCTGGAGGTGGTCTGTGCAGACATTCTGGACCCGATTGCTGCGGTCCTTAAAGAACAGGCTGTCAGTTGCTCCTATCTCGGGAAATCCAGGGTCTTTGCACCACCAGGCCTGTCGGAACAGTCCGGTTTCCCAGAGCCCATAGCTCATCTCGCATCACCTGCTTTCTGCTTGTCCTCAGAGGGGTACCTACGCACCGCAGTTGGGTGAGGAAGATCCGCTTCGCCCCTGGCAAAGGAAACCAAAAACTGATAGCGATGTACAACGATGGAGCCGAAGTGTGGGACACCAGAGAGGTAGGCCTGCTGCGGTGACTCAGCACAGCTCACCTGGGCTGTGGGGTCAAGTCCTCCTGGCTGAGGCGTGAAAAGGATGTCACAGATCTGTCAAATTACTGATGACAAATTCTGTCTTTATTTAAAAAAATATTACTCGTAGTATCAAAAAAAAAGATCAAGAAATGATCCAACTCAGACATCCAAAAAAGATAGCCCACCAGATTGTTTGATTTGATGTCTTTGTCTTTGGGACCTTTTCAATGTGTCTGCCTGTGGAGCAGAGGTGGCCAGTCCCGCCGCAGGCCTTTGTTGCAGGCAGTGGCTGTCTCGAACTGTTTGAGGCACAATAGTAAGTAGCTGCTGCTTCTCTGTGAAAGTGATGACCAAATCTGTGCTTGAAGGTTCAGATGGTGAGCAGTTTAAGGAGCGGGAGAAATGTGACTTTCCGGATACTGGACGTGGACTGGTGTACGTCAGATAAAGTGATCTTGGCGTCAGATGATGGCTGTATCCGGATCCTGGAGATGTCCATGAAGTCCACGTGTTTCAGGATGGATGAGCAGGAGTTAGTCGGTATGTGCTGTGACGGGCGGCGGCCTTAATGCTAAGCTTTGCTCTTTGCTGGCTTCCCGGGGAGCGGCTCTGCATCATTTCAAGCTCATTTGCTAAGAATCTGTGTCTAAGGAAATGAGATGACTTGAAGCTTGAGCTTCTCTATCACTGAGCTGCTCTCATCTTTGTGACTGCAGAGGTCAGCCTTCCCCAGGTCAGGTTTTACACGTCCCCTGAGCCCTGGTGGCACCTTGGTTCCCCTGATCGCGAGGAGGTCAGTGATTCAGACTGACCAGTTCCCCATGGGAAGGATGTGGCAGTCTTCCCACATAAAGATGTACAGCCCGGAAACCGTAGGGGGTGGGGGGCGCTTCTGCCCTGCCCGTTAGGGTCTCTGTGAGTCAGCGTCGATCACAGTGGGTTTTTCCCACTTTGAGCCTCTTCTGTGTGGTTTGTCACAGAGTATTTCCTGAGCATAGCTCTCCTCAGACGTAGCCCATGACGAGGGCTGCTGGGTTCCTCCTGCTGAGCCTAGTCCATATGAATTCCGTTTCCTAAGTGAAAGAAACAAGAGTCCTTGGAGAAGCCACTCATTCCCGGACAGAGGCAGCCAAAGTTCAGGATGAGCTGGGACATGTTGTATCAGATATCGAGAAAGTATAAGAAAGCCAGAGAATTTGCCGTCAGGATGCAGAGACGAGCCTGAGAGGCTCCCGGAGCAAGGCCTGGGCTGTCTGAACAGCGCAAAAGGCAGGGATGGCATCTAGTGAGCTGTTGACTTCAGGAGTGGTCCTCAGAGCCAATCAGAGGGGAAGGCGAGAAAGCGCATGCTTACAGAGTAGTACCCGAGTTGAGAGAGGCGGAAAGGTGGTGGAATTAGCCAGTCACTGCCTTGGAACTGCTGTGTCACTGATTCAAGCAAGGAGCATTAGTGGGAGCTAAGTCTTCATGTCAAAGCTTGGTCAGGGCTGGGAAGTCACCGTCTCACAATGTCTCCTCCACATGGGACTCATGATAAAGGAGGAAGGTGTCCTTACAAGGGAATTCCAGCAGCACAGGTGATCACATTCTGTGGCACCTGGAAGGAGACCACTGAGATGCCCCTACCGGTGATGCTGTGATGAAGTCTGCACTCTCCCAGGCAGTGTTCTTGCCAATAGTGCAGCCCAGCTCTTAGCCCCGGGCTTGTGCATTGCTGCTGCGGACTCCTGTAGCTGTCTGCAAATGAGAAAACAGTAATGGAAACCAACCACTTTGTTGTCCTAGAGCCCGTGTGGTGCCCGTACATACTTGTCCCCAGGGCCTCGCTGGCCTTGAAAGCCTTCTTACTACACCAGCCGTGGAGTGGACAGTACTCTCTGGACATTTATCAAGTGTAAGTAGTTTCCTTGCTTAGTCTCCTTGGGGTTGAAGAGCACCTGTGAGTATCAGCAGTGGCTCATGTCCAGGGCCACAATCGAGCTGAGTCTCCTGACCGAGTTGAGGGAGAGCGGGCCTGCAGGCTAGAAGGGTGACCTCCCCAGCCTCTCCTCTCCCGGCCTCTCCAGCCCTCCCCCGGTCTTTTGGCCGAATGGGTATGTGGGCTCACGGTGCCAGCATATTCTGCTTCAGATGGTTGTGTGGGCGTCCTCAGGCCTGAACTGGAGCATGCCACCATTAGGGAAGGAGAGGGTGGGTCGGGCTGATGTAGGCCAAGCAAAAAAGGACGTCATTGGCTTTGTCTTAGAGGTTTCTTATGTTTTTCTAAATCTCGTTGCCTCACTTACTATAAAAAATATTCACAGAAACAATAGTCAGAGGTTGTTAATTGAATCTGCCGATGTGTACTGAGCTTATACTATATACAGTGCAGAGGCAGGCCCGAGATGGGAAATAAAAAATGTCACAAAGAATTCCACAAAGGATCTCTTAGAGGAGAATAGACAAATTCCTAGTCATCGCCCAGCTCCATCTTTGTTGTTAGTGCTGTCAGTTCAGCACTAGCCCACGGCAGCCCCAGGTCAAGGACTGTCCCGCAGGCTTCCCAGCCTGTCATTGGTGGGAGCAGACCACCATGTCTTTCTCCCTCAGAGCTGTGGGGTGAGTTCAAATCACCAGGTTTTCACCTAGCAGCCAGGGCGTAACTGTTAAACCAGCAAAGCTCTTCAGAGTCTAATTAAATGAGTCTAAACCTGATGGTTTTCAGAGCCTAACACATTTTCTGCTTCAAAACCAGGACTTCCTTTACTCATTCCTTCGTCTTGACCAGTAGTAAGAGAGCCGATGTTAGGGGTGGTTGTGGACTCCAGAAGGGACCCTTGGGATTTCAGTCTGTAGACGGATTTCTAACCAAGGGTTCTAGAGAGACATCAGCATGCCCACAGAGTCTTTCTGATGAGACAGTAAATGGCTTTAAATAAAGATGTGTTTCATTTTCTTCCCCCCGCCCCCTCTGCAGTGATTATCCGGAAAATGAAGAAATAAAGGACCTCCTTCAAGAGCAGTTGAATTCATTGTCCAAGTACGCGCTCTATGCCTTTTTTAGGAGAGGAATCCGGGAGAGACAAGTACATTCGTAGAGGCTTTTAAGAAGTAAAATGAGTTGAGTTTTGGAAGATAACTGGTGGTCCAGTGAGACAGGACTGTTTTCCTTTACAATTTTTGCCAGTGTATTTGCTTTATGATACACTGACAGAGAGCCTTTCTGCAGGAGTGTGGGATGGGATTGCCCTGGGGTGGGGTCGGCGGTCCTGGGAGCTGCGTGGGGTGACCTCAGTGTCCAGCCTCCACCCACGGCCCCCTGGAGCCAGGCTCAGAGGACAGACGGCAATTCTTGTGGGCTAGCTCTCCTTGAATGAGTTCTGTGTGTCATGTGCCCTGTGTGTACAGTTCTAGGTAAGGAATTAAGGTGAGCTCGAGAGCTGGGAGCATTTACAAACTGTGTATGGGGAATAATACTGCACAGAAAGTAGAAAAAGATGGATCTGTAAGGAGTTCTTGGTGGTGGAACACACCATATTTTCATAATCTAGCCTGTTGCCTGCAATTCTGAAATAAGTTACCCAAATAGAATATTTTATTGATCATGTATTAGAAGAATGATTTTCTTTGTCTGAAGAATAACATTTATGTTTGAAAAGAAAACTAGAGATTTAAAGACTGTCCTCTCATTAACTTCATGAAGATCTTATTTGGCCATTTTCTAAACTTCAGTTTTTATAAACACTGGCCTTTGAGTAGTTGCAGAAATGAGTTCTAAGCATCCTCTTTTCAGAGGTGAATCCTGTCTGATCACTGGCACAGTCACTTGAGGGATACTGAGGTGACTGTTCCAATGGGAACTGCGGGAATCTGAGCCAGGAGCAGCCCCTGCACGCCCCCGCCGGTGGCTGCGAGGTACTACCTCTCCAAGCCCGAAGCCCTGGGAGCCTTGGTAAAACACGTTGCCGCACGCTTTTAAATTGATGGCCGTGCTTAGAAGCACTTTTTTTAACCGTCATTTGCAGCAACGTATTAAGTTTATATAAAAGATTTCAGAGTCCGCAGTGACTTTGCGTTTGTGAGCTGTGTGGCAGTTCCCCGCCCCAGAGTGTACTGATGCATCTCCTTCTTGTTTGATGCACAATGGCCATCCGGCCTTGGTCTGAATTCCTGTCCGCAGTGACGTAAAGACGCTCCTACTTGACCCGGCCTTCACCCTCCTGCAGAGGTGCCTGCTTGTTTCAAGGTAACGCCGGGGGGGAAGCAGCCATGCCCGGCAGACCACTTCTCATGGGCTCTTGTCTCTCTCCCGGGGTTCAGTTAAGGCCAGACGCGATGAGGTTCTAGAAGAAGGTCCCGTTCTTTAGATGTGACTTAGAGTTACTTCACAAGTAGTGACAAAGTCGTAGAGCAGGCAGTTCTGACAGGGAGCCCTGGGCCTGCAGGCCTTCTTTGCTGAAAGGGCTTCTTCCCACCGTGTTTCTAATAACTGATTTTAAATGTTCACAAACGGCACGTATGTGAGCATATGAAGTTGGTTTGAAAGCAGTGCTGTCACCGTGGAGCTCTCACCTGTGAGAAGACCTGCCCCTCCACTCCCCAGGGTCTAGAGGCTGCTCTCATCCGCCTCTCACTGCAGAGAAACTTTCTCTTCATGCGAAAGGTGAGCTGATGACGAGCCAGGTAGATAGTTGTCAGGCGTCCGCAGTGCTCCTAGCACAGGTCAGCTGCTGTTCCTCAGACCTGACCAGACGTAAAGCTGCACAGCCCAGCACGGAGCAGGGTCTGAGGGGGCCTGTGCTGTCTGAGACCCAGTCGCAGGGCAGAGAACTAGCTCCCTCGCCCTAGCCGAGCACCAAGCCTGTATCCCAGGGGTCCTTCAAGGGTCAGCACTGTACTCCTGGTACCTCTGCCCCCCTCCATTCCCCACCTTGTGCCCCCCAGAAACTCTGTTCGGGCCCCCAGGTCTTGGCTGAGTGCCGCTGTAACTGACGGTGACACCTTCGCAGGCTGTACGGTGATGAGTCGGAGCTACACTTCTGGACCGTGGCGGCCCACTACCTGCACAGCTTCTCCCAGGAGAGGTCCTCAGCGGGAGAGGCGGCTCAGGGCAGAGTGCACAACCCCCTCGATATATGCTACGATGTCCTCTGTGAGAGTGCCTACTTCCAGGTAGTGTATTCAGTTAAACCGCTAAGGCTGCCATTGTGTTACTTATGTCTTCATAACTACCATAACTTGGGGCACGTTTTTATTATGGTCTGTGGAATAGATATAAGTCCCTTGACATTAGCATCAGAAAGGTCTGGTTCAGGATTTGATAAGGTTGTAAACAAACATTTTCTTTATTTTGCTTGGATTTACTATTCTGACTTAATGAAGGTAACTTCATAGTTTTATTTTAATCTTCAGTAGAATATTCCAAAAAGAGCCTTGGCAGTACTTGGCTGGCAAGTGCAGGGTCTGTAATTAGAACCCATCAGCTGCTCCTCGGGAGAGAGATGGGACATTCTGGCTCCTGTAAGGGGGACAGCCATTGAGACTGCATAGACCAGCCTGTGTATGGGACAGCTCTGCGTCCTGCGGGTGGGACAGCTCTCTGTCCTGCGGGTGGGACAGCTCTCTGTCCTGCGGGTGGGACAGCTCTCTGTCCTGCGGGTGGGACAGCTCTGCGTCCTGCGGGTGGGACAGCTCTCTGTCCTGCGGGTGGGTGGGACAGCTCTCTGTCCTGCGGGTGGGACAGCTCTCTGTCCTGTAGGGTCATTGCTGAGTCAGGATCAGCTCACAAGCAGAAACTTAGGTTTGGTTTTTAGAAAACTT